CGGATGATTTTATTTGGAACAGAAGTTTGAAAACCAATGTCCTGTCCTTCTGTGTCTACGTGCAAATTCCTATTGTTCTGGGAACTTAGGCGCGGGCTTTTTTCCATAGCCACTCGTGAAAGGACAGGCGGTGGAGCAGAGCTGAGCCCCAAGCAGAGGGGCCCCAAACATGGGGTCTGTGGAGCCCCTGGGGGCACATGGGCCCGCCTTGGGGAGCCATGATCTGCTCAGGCTGTGTGCAAAATTCCAGGGGATGTGTGATGGGGCGAGGGAGAGGGCCAGCACGTCCCCAAATACATAAGTGACTACTAAAACAAATCATCGTGACTGTAGGAACCGCCCTTCCCTGAGTACCGACCACACACTAGGAGGGCAGGGATGATAAGGTCACCCAACCGCACAGGGCTGTTGGGAGGATGAACTATGCGGACATCTGTGAAGCCTTTAGCGTGGCACCTGGCACACGGCAAGCACTCTGCGAGCGTCATGGTTTATTATTATCACCACCCGTTATTATCGCTTTTACGGCCTCATTAGTCCTCACAAAAACTTTATGAGGTACATATTATTATCAACCCCACTTTATAGAACAGGAAATAGAGGTTTCAAAAGATTAAATAATGAGCTGAAGGCCGCAGAAGAGCAGAGAAGGATCTCAAACTCGGCCTGCCTTGGATGCCCACTCCAGGCAGACCCTCAGTCTGGAAGGGCTGTGGGAAGAAGGCAGGAGCCCCCAGAGGCCTGGAGGAGGCAGGCAGCCAGCGCGCAGCACTGGGAGACCCCAGATGACCCAGGCTGGAGCCAGAGGGGAAAATAGGCCAGGCTTTCTGCTGAAAGGGCCGGTAGCCGGGCTAACTTTGTAGCTCTTCTCATCAGCAACACAAAGCCAAGCTGCTTAAAATAATAATGATTTAAAAAAAAAAACCACCCCTTGCAGCATCCTTTCCTGGGCTCCAAAGCGAGAGCCATGTCTGGGAGTACAGTGGGATCAAGGCACGAGGCAGTGGCGGCCACAGCGCCCGCTGGCTGAGCTCCAAGCAATGTTTCTCCTTCCAAACACATACACAGCTTGGCTGAACACACCACTTGAAAGCCAAAAAGATGCCCCTGGGTTGCCATGGCAATGCTAAACAGACAAAACATCTTAACCAGCTCTGACGCAGACCCAAACTTATTTAAGGGCCAAACGGACAGACTAGGAGTGGGGTGGGGGAAGTGTTGTTCCAACAGCTCCATCTCCAAGGATTTGGCCCCCAAAACATCTAGGTCAGACTGAAACAGGGCAAAGAACTCCTTCAACACAAGCTGAGCTGGGCTTGCTCAGGAAAGGGGAGCCACGGCCAGGCCTCCATGCATTTTGGTCCAGATACAGTCCTGTTTCACGAGGGCCACGAGAGGGTGACAGTAGATGCCGCTGGTCCTGGCTCTGCCTCTCCCTGGGGGCAGCCCTCTGCTCCCAGGCACCCAGCTCTCTTTAAGGAAGCAGGGAGGAAGAGACTGGCCGAGAGCAGGCTCAGGAGGGTCAAGTGTACTCAGGGGTGTACACTGGCTCAGATATCTTAAAGCACTGTGTGGACACTGTGTTAGTGCTGGTATCCATAATGTTAACCACCACTTCCCACACCCCATGGTTGACCTTCCACCCATAGGAGTGGATCACCATGGATATTCTCCTGCAGAAAACTTCACTCTGGGCCTAATGAGGTCGGACCCTGAGATGCTGCCACCTGGGGAGTGAGGATGAGGCAGAAGGCTCATCCCAGGTCTGAACAGAATGCCATACCCACAGGGTCTGTCCTACTCTGGGCTCTTCCAGGTTCCATCCCTCATTTCAGACACAACAGGCCCAAGGCCAGAAGAGTCTCACCAGACATAGCTTTTGACACTTGGTAGGATCAATGAGAAAATGTCACAAAACCTTCCTCTGTATCTACCTAAGGATGTCATGGACCTTGCAATCTCCAGAAATGAGAATCCTCGTCCATCCATCATTCCCCGTGGCGAACCCTCTTGCCTTTCAAGACTCATGCCTTAGAAGTTTTTCTTAAATCTCCCCTGCCCAGGGTGGAATGGGCCCCCTGGGCCATGCACAGATGTCTGCGGGAGCCACTGCACTATTCTATTGTTCTAATTGTTCTCTGGTTTCCTGCCCAATCATCCCTGAGCTCCCTGAGGGCAGGGAGCCCAGCTTGTTTACCTGGGTATCCACCTGGCCTAGCCCAGTGGCCAGCATTGGTTATTAGTCTGTGAATGTTTGCTGATTGACAGGCCAAAAGGAAGCAGTGCCATGCCCATAAGGCTTATGCATCAAGGCCCCTGGAATTCTCTAGTTCACATGCCACAGGTGTCTGCTTTTACTTCCACCATCCTCTGGGAAGAGAGCAGGACTTGGAAGCAGAGCCTGGAGGGCAGGAGTTAGAGAATGGAGCTCTGGGCAGCCGTGGGTCTGGAGGAGGGGGATACATGAGGAGGGTGGGGGGAAGAAGGACCCAACTTGCAAAACCAAAGCACTCATGCCAACCCACCAATCAGCTAATGAAACAATTTGCCCCTTGAAACGGAAATAGTACCCATTCCTCCTACTCTGAAGCAAAATTGTTTCTCTTTGGTTCCATCGTTAAAGGGCCCTGAAGATGCTGTATTTTTAGGGTGTGAACACATTAACTCTATGCTGAGGATTTTCAATGGAGTCAGAGTTACCCTCCTAGCAGGTACTCTCCCTAATTCTCTTCTCCTTGTATGTCTTCTTTTTGCCAGCATGATGCCCTGCATACAACCTTCCCTTCCACTCTCCTCCAAACAGGCAATATTTAGCAAACAACAAATCTTTATCAATGGCTGCCCTAAGCCTCACTGGAAGTTTAACCTTCTAGGAATCTAGAAATGGCAGCTCACCCGCCATTCCATATTCCCAAATTATGCTTCCCACGAGCAGAGATGCTTTAACTCTGCACATGCTCACACATGCATACACAAAAGTGTCCTCTTAGCCAGAACAACACCTGTGCCCATCTGTAAGCACTTCCTGGGTGCCCCAGGTGAGCTCTGCCTTACGGATTTGACACTGTTTTGCGAGGTAGGTGACAGGACCATGGCCCTGTTGTCCTTATCATCATCTTTCTCATTTCCTACAGAACAGAATGACTGTGGAGGTTCTAACATTCTCCTCGACTCACATCCTGTACGCAGAACTTTTCTCTGCTACTTTTACCATCAGACTTTGTCTGCCTCCCCGCCCCTGGGCTGGAAATAATTACCACGGACAAATATAGGATTTTTATATTCCCGTGTTCTGAAATAACACAGCCCATGAAAAAAATTAACAATACTTCCATAGCTGAAAGGGTTATGGAAAACCCACAAAATTGCACTGATGCTCTGTAGCATTTATATACAACATTCACATAAACCACATTGGCACAGAAGAATCTAAGGTGATGGTATTATTTTATAAGCTTGAAAGTGGACTTTAATGACAAATACCTCCTCCAACAGAAAGTACCGAAAATACAAATGCACCAAACAGAATAAAAGGCTCACTGCCTTAAACCCTCAGTTCCACATACATGTTTTAATGGGCTGCGCCAAACACAACCATATCCATCCCAAGGGGAAAATACTACGTCTCTTTCATGTGAAGATGTGACTGCATATGTAAAATGCTTGCACTAAAATTAAATCTTCCATCTTCCAGATTTTCTCAATTATTAATACACCAGACAGCTGCAGGGGCTCTAGCAAAAATAGCAGCCAAGTTTTTCCAAACGTCAAAGCAGCCATGAGATGTCTGCATGGGGACTTTCCTACCAGAGGACTGGCTGCTCTCTGGAACAAACAAAAAGAACCAAAATCTCCAGTGAGAGAAACTTGTTTCTGAATGTAACATGAAAAAGACACACACCACCCCACCGCCATGCCACACACACTCACTCCTCTTTAGAAGAAGAAACTGTGTGCTTGAAAAAAACAAAAAGTTGACTGAGGGGAAAAAAGTTGACTAAAAAGGCTATCTCTTCAATTCATTAGGATAACAAACAGTTCAGAAAATTCAACAGTAAATCCAAAGAATGCCAGTCACTTCAGTGTGTTCTGGTATGAGGTATCCAATCGTGTCTACTCAAAGGGAGTGGGGTGATGACAGTAGAAAAACGAATTATGCCTGTTTTCTTTTTTTTTAGATTTCTGGAAGCAAATTAACAACAACAACAACAAAAAGTTATCCTTCAGTTGCCATCTCCTAAACAGGTGGTAGCGTCATCTTGACAGACTCTGATAACATACACACTCTTCGTGGAAATATTCACATTCGAAAAGCATTTCAAAGGGGAAAACTAAGCACTCAGAGTATCACAATTCAACGGTTCCTGAACTCAATAGTGATCATGAATTTTTAATTCAAAGATTATGTGCAGGGCATCTAACAAGAATAGACTTTTTTTTAAGCTGTAGTATCAGAGCTTAAGCACATCATACCAGAGAGAATGTCACTTGTCCAGGTTACACTGAGAATGGTCTGGATGAGATTGCACATTTCACATTTCCTGTCACAGTTCTGATTTCACATCATTCTAACCCTTAAAGCCAGTCAGATCACATGCCCCGATTTCTGGGCAGTATGATACCATCGCTTCGTCTGTGCCTCAGCACCATACACAGACAGAAACTGCTGTGGGTCTTCGAGGAAGGAGAAAGAGTCATATCAGCCCAAGACGTAAACCAGGTTATGTGTGCACCGGTTCTGCATAACTTGTTTCTAAGAAAAAGGACCGTATTTCATTTTCGCTGTCTCAACGATCCACATAAAAATCACAGCCATTTTTCAGTAAATGCCAACAAATGTCAGAGAAGCAGACCACGGCTATTTGGAAATGGCTGTTAGTTTCTTAATACAATCCCCTAGGGTAAGGCCTGTGGTGTGAATGTTTTCAAGATGGTCAATATCCTTCAGAGGCAGGGCTTACTAACATAACACAAACACCCACTGCCCGTGGACGACTTACCATTTGCGATCTGTTCTTCGGACAGCCATTGATGTCTTCAATCTTTTCATTTGCTGAAAAAAGAAACACAAGTCAGAAAAATAATCATCACTTTGAGAAGTGATGTTCAGGACCCTTGAGGCCAAGCAAATCCTAAGGCCCATACTGGGGTCTGTCCAACCAAACACAGGCATGTGAAACACTGAGACGCATCTCGCAAGCTTCAGGACTTACTCATCAAGCCGCCATCCTCCAGGGACAGCTGGGGCAAGGTCGCTGTCATTCAAGGCAGAGACAACTGCATTGACGACAGTCTTGGAGGTTTGGGGCATCGCGGAAATGTTTGGAGACTGGTAAACAGACTGAGCTGTGACTGTGCTTTAGGCTCTTAAAGGCAACTGCAACTTCCCCACAGAAGATGGGGGGTTTCAAAGTGGATCAGTCCAGGCACAACTCAGCTCCTGGGGACAAAAGCCACAGATGATAGCAACCCACCCCCTCTTTAGCCGGAAATAGTAAGATGGCTTTTGTTTGCCCTAATCCTATTCTCAAAGTGATGACAAGTGGAAAAACAAGATTTTAAAAATGGGACATCCATGCTAAGTCCAAATGAGATCTGAAACACACACTACTGAAGTCATAGTAACACCTAGCTACTTAGAGAAGTGGTAGAAAGAGGTTGCACTGAATTAGCTGGAACTCAAATAGCAGAACAGGCAAGAAAGGCACATCGCCCATGGTGAATGTGCTTCATCTTAAGTATGGAAAAATCCTTGCAAGACACATCCTGGGACACCTGATTTGCAACTGCAGTGCGACAAGAAAGGCAAGAAAGTGTGTGCGTAGTGGCTTATGTGACCCAGTTTAAAGCCCAGCTCCACAGCTTCTTAGCTGTGTGATCTCAGCTGTGTAACATAACCTCTCTGGGCCACAGTTTCCTCATCTATAACAGAGTTAATACTACCTACTTCATAAGAGGAATGGTGAGAAGATTATATGACGCCAGTAAAATGCTTAGTGTGATGCCCAGCACACAGTGAGTGTTCTACGTATAGTAGCTCTCATTAACCCCAAAATTTATGTTCTCATCAGCTGCGTCAAAAATATAAAATGAAAATTTCCTTTTTGATGTCTCCATTGGAGTTAAGCCCAGAAACTCACCTAGGACTTCATAGTAAAGAACTAAGGATTCACCTCCTCTGTGATGCCTTTATAAGATTCCTCCCCAGTCCCTGTACCCCAAGCTCCCACCCCCAGAAGGATAAGGCCCACTCAGGTTTCTCTGCTCTCTAGCTCCCTAGACCCACCTCTATTTCACTTTTAATCATCTAATGTGTAACTTCTTTTCTTGGCTATGTAGCTATGCAGACATGTAGATTTTCTCTTTCACACTTGGACTCTGAGGGCTTGCAAAACTGAGTTTTAAAAATGTATTTCACATCAGATTTTAATGAGTATGATGCCTAAAACTTCCAGGAAAAGACACTGTAAACTGTCTGAAAAGACTAACTGAATCAGAGTCCCACAATGAGGAGGTTTTAGAACGCCTGAACTTACACAGAGTTCACCATTACCTCAGTTGGGTTTATTTTTTCTCTAATTTCTACCTTTGACAGAGAAGTGAAAAATAAGAAAGCAAGCTAGTGGCAGGGAATTGTTTAAAAATCTAATTACCAGAGACTGCCTGGTTGGTATACATTCAGCTTAATCTACACCTTCCTTAGAATTTGCCCAAAGTAATATATATAAAGGCTCATGACCCACTCGGGAAGACTTTGGTCTTCAGAGACCCAAGTGAGTTTTCAACTCTTAACAACAGTGGGATGGGCATTTTAGGAAGCTTCTTCTACCTGTTTCCCCCCATCCCCAAAGAGGGGCCAAAAAAGTCTTTAAAAAGCACATAAAAGATGCCCAATGAGAGGGATGACTCGTGGATATTTGTTCTTCAGTTCACCAGAAAGTACAAGTGAGCACATGAAGGCCACACGAATACAGATTTCCACCTGCTTTGTTTCCCCCTCTAACCCCGAGTACAGCACAGTGCCTGAAACACAGTAGCTACTCCATATGTATTTGCTGAGTGTTCTGAACTAAGGAGTATTTGGGTATGCAGAACAGTTCAACAAATCAAGTTTTACCGTCTATTTGGAGGCAGCTGTCCTTTCACTTGGGTACATAAATGTACACACTGAAGATGAAAAAAAAGAAAGACAAATGGCTGTCTATCACACATGGGAAATTCTAGCAGGCTTGCACTCTGACCCTGGACTTTGATACACAACACTGGAGGAATAAATGTATGGCTTTTGAGAATCAAGGCCACTCAAGGTATCTTCCAATTGGATACTCACGATGGACAAAGTCATAAGTCACTGGATTCTGATCAAAGCTCAGTTTCGCATTAGTTCATTAGTGCTCATTAAAGTCAAAGATGGATAACTGTGATCCTCAGAGGTCATTTGAAAGATTCTTTATACACCTTCTGGATAAACGAAACCAAAGGGTTTGGTCTAATTATTCCTCTAACTCCTTTTCATGGTTTGTCACTTAAACCACAGTCAGGTGCTCCTTGAATTCAACTTTCACGGCTCCTACCAGCCTAATGCTGCCATGTGACAACATTCAAAATAAACCAACTGGGTGGAGACTATTTGTGACCTAAGGAATACAAGGGAAGAGGAAGGAGGGTATAGTTCAAGTGGCAGGGTGCATGCTTAGCATGCACGAGGTCCTGGGTTCAATCCCCACTACCTCCTTTAAAAATAAATAAATCTAATTACCCTCCCCACCAAAAAAAGAATACAAGGGTAGAGATTAATCAAATGACCAAGCCCAAACTCAAAATAAATGCTTAATAAAAATGCAAACCAAGTCTGGACCTCCTCGTTTCCAGTTTCATATAATTTAAGTACTTCTCCTTTACTCAAATTCTCAAAAATTTCTATAGTTGTCATAAATACTTGGAGCAACAATAGCAGCTCTGCTTCCGCTGGTAAGAACTGAATTTATTAATTGGGGAGGGGGAGGGTCTTTGGCTAAAGCCCCAAAGCAGATAACCAAAAAAGCAAAGGCATTTGTCCCTCAAAGTCCTCCACTCTGATTAAAACTGGCATTCCCTAAATGCCAACGGTAATTTATTTATTCCAGCATGTTCAAGACATTCTTAGCTCACTAATGTGGTAACCTGTCCACACACAGGGTGGCAAATTAGTAACTGGAAAGCATCAGTGCACTTTAAGAAAAATGGCATCAAGCTTGTTACTTTTCAAAAGACCTCCTGGGAAATGTTCGGAGCATTTCAATAGGCCAGGCATCCATCCACACGTGGCATCTATGCGTGTGCACAGGACAGCTGGCAGCCCTGCCAACGGACAGAAAGAGAAACTGGCCACCCTCACTAAAAGGAAGATAACTTACCCAAGGTCACGTCATGGTAGCAGTAGGTCATTAATAGAAAGGAGGGAGAGTCCTGAGTGTTGTCTGAATTTCCTGCTTGTGCTCAGAGCAGCCCAAACAGTGGTGGAAAGTCAGCTGCTAACAGCTCTCTTCACCTCTAATGGGAAATCTCTTGCTCTCGGCCTTGGCTTCTTCCTCCTCTCCAGTCCTCTTGTGTTTGTCCAGTTTCCTTCCTTCTCTCTCTCCTCTTTCCTCCCTTTCTCCCACCCCGTCTCTCCCTCGCTCCCTCCGACCCCTTCTGGCATCCTCCCTGAGTGACAGCAATGTAAGCAGGAGGAGGGTGGCCTGTCTCTCCCTCCTGATTCATGCTGTTTCTCCTGGCCTCATAAACCTTTCTAATAACTCACAGACATGGCACCGTGATGGGCTGGCAGGCAGCTGCCCGCTTCGGGCAGCTCATGACTCAAGAAGATAATCACACTAATAAGAGGCTGAACACAGGCACCCACCCTCAGTCACTAAAGCAAGGGCACCAAGAGGCAGCACCAAAAGGTCCACTTTCTGCTTAATGGGAGGAAGGCAAGGGTGGCAAAGCGTGGGCCCCAAATAATCCCACTGTCTGGGAAGACCAGCCCCTAGGATGGATGAATGGATAGATAGCTAGATCCTAGGATCCACCTGGGATTGATGAAGATTTAGGTAGGAGTAGCATGTGTGAAAAGCATTTAATGTTTTCCTTCAAGTTACAGATCTGAGCTTTTAAAGAATTCCAGCTCTCCACCATTAGAACTAGCTGAGGAGATAGAAAGATCCCCAACCAGAAAACACGTGCTTCAACCACTGGCCTTTGCTCTTAGGTGAAAACCTAGAGTTCACTCCCCTGTACCTTTCCCTGATCCCCACCCTCCCAACCCTGTCCCCAACCCTGCCACCACCCCAGTCATGGGTCAGGCCTTATAGCACCCCTGGTCCTCAATCATTCGTCCCTCCTGGGCCTAGGAAGAGGATGTCCCTTAAAAGCACAACCTCCCTGCCTGCACATTTTGATGGTCTTTCATTGAGATGTGTTCTTTTCTTTTTAAGTATTTTAAAATAACTTCAAACCTACAGAAAAGTTACAAGAATAGTACAGAGAATTCCTAGATACCACCATCCATTCTCACTTTCTCCCTCCCTCTCTTTCCTTCCTTCTCTGTATAGGTACATTTTTTTTTCTGAAACTGGCGTGTAGGCTACATAGGTCATGTCCTTTATCCCTTATTCTCAGTATTTCCAAAGAACAGGGATATTATCTCATGGTACAATTTTAAAATTCAGAAAATTTAACACTGCTATAATTCCAATATTCCAGTTTTGCCAATTGATTCAAAAACGCCCTTCATAGCATTTGACTCCCCTGTGCAGGATCCAGTCGAGGATCATGCAGTGCATTTACTTGTCAGGTCTCTTTAGTTTTTCTTCTCGAAAAATTTCTCACCCTTTTTCAGACTTCCACAGCACTGACATTTTTTAAACAACTCAGGTCAGTTTCTTTTTTTAATACAGTGTTCCACAATTTGGGTCTGCCTGAGATTCCTCATGACTGGTCTCAGGTTTTCCAACCCTGAGTGGAATACAATGTTAAGCGATGTTGCATTCTTTTCAGGGTTCCGCATCGGGAAGCACATGACGACCAGCTGCCCCTCAGCAGTAATGTAATTTTAATAACCTAGTGATGGTGCCTGGATTCTCCCAAGAGGCTATTCCCCCTTGGAACTAATAAGCAATCAGTGGAGAGACACTTTGAGACCATGCAAACAGCCTACTCTCCATCAAACTTTCTCCTCTAGATTTCAACATTCATTGATGATTCTTGCCTTAACGAATCTGTACCATCACAGCTGCAAAAACCTCAACGTTTTTACCCTAGCATGTTTAGCTGCCTTCTCATCTCCCCATTTTCTGGGCCTCTGTTCTCCAAAGAGAGCAGACGGTGTGAGCCTGGCTGTCAAGGGTAGCGACCCACACGCTGACCTCTGGCCTTACTTAGGAGGGAGTCCCTGGCCAGAGTGAGTCTATCCTGGAGGGCTGAGGAAAGCAACTTGGTGGCCTGAGGTGCAGCCTGGGTCAATGACACTAACTTGAGCCTCTGAAATCGCAGTCCAGTAGCTCCGGCCCAGAGAGGTCACTGTCTAGGGAGGTTCACCTCATCTGAACAGATTCAGGGACGCAATGATAAAAACTGCTCTAGCTTACATTTCTGTAGCACTATACTTAGTAAATTCATGATATATGTTACAATTCACTTCTTCTGGGCCCATGACAGACAGAACTCATCTATCATGACACACACTGACACTGATACAAAGGCTTCATCATCTTTGTACACATACCTTTCTGGGCAGTGGTTACCAAGTGCTATTCAGGAACACTTTTCAGTTTCCAAGCACATTTCCTATTTGATACCTACCTTGCATTTCCTAAGACTGCCACAAGATCAGACAATGCAGCCACAGCTGTGCCCATTTTAAAGACAGGGAAACAGAGGTAGCAGAGGCCATGTGCAGAGAACTATGTGGCAAAGAGCAGAGAGGGCCTTCTCGGAATTGAGGGTGGCCTCCAGCTCACACTCCTATAACTGCAAGGGAATGAATTCTGCCAACAATCTGACCGAGCTTGGTTCCCAGTCAAGCTCCAGATGAGAAGTACCCCGTGATCAACACCTTGATTGCAGCTTTGCAGAGGCACGCAGCTAACCTGTGCCTGCACTCCTGGTGCATAGCAAGTGCGAGACAGTTTTAACATATGCTGTTTTACACCATTAAGTTTGTGACAATTTGTTATACAGCAACAGCAAACTAATATAAGGAAGGAAGGAAAAAGAAGAGAAAGAGGAGAACCAGTGGAAGCTGATCCTAAGAAGTCAGTCTTAAGACAGCAGGGAAACAACTTTCTCTTTGAATGACACTCCAGAAGATTCACTTCAGGCCAATTTGCTTATACTTTTAGGTACAATCTCCACATGTGACTAGAGCTATGACTATACAAGGCCACTTCTCACACTTGAAGGATAAGTAACTTTTCCAATAACAACATAAGCCTGAGGGGCTGGGGCTTCTGTCCTTTTTTCCGCCTTCTCTCTTGGCATGAGTCTGCTGCCAAGGCTGCCAGCGACAACAATCAACCTAATGCCATCTAATTGACCTCCCGCCTCCACAGTCCGCTCTGAGCTCTCAGGCTGGACCACTGGGATGCTTCCCTTAAGACCCAAGGCAAAGCGGTGCCCAGCCTCCGCCCGCATGCCTGCCCAGGATGACCCCTCTCCTCCCAGCACATGGCAAGGGCATTAAAAATCCCACCGCCCGGGTTCCCCTCCCCTAGTATTAAAACCAGAAGCAGCCCTCTGCGGAGTTTGAGCCTTTGATTTCTTGGACCCAGTTAGAGTTCATAGGAATAAACCAGCCCTATGTTGCTTTTTTTGCCCCCACCTTTTTTTTTTTTAACATTTCCAAAGTTATCCACAAAAAAGCACCATCATGGGGGGAATGAGAGTAAGAAGGGGGACCAAAAGTCCCTTCCCAAACCACCAGCATTTCCCTCCAGCCATGGCCAGTCTTTCTTCTCAGAGGATCAAGATTCGATTGCTGTGTGGGTGATCCTATCAGGAAAAGTGAGCTGGTACCCACATTCCCCCAGCGCAAAACTGAGTTAAATAAATTGTCAACCCATGCGACAGAAGCGCTGCCTTTTTCTTAAGCGATGTCAGCGCTCCATTCCCTCTTGCTGGACATGATCCCTCCTGGACCGGTCTCTGCTGTAACTCGTCCACCCCCAATGTAAAACCTGCTCTTACCCACAACCTGGATAATCTGGGCCAGGAGGACGCCGTCCGTCACATCTTGCTGGAGATCCTTGATGAGACGTTTGTGGCCTGATTTGGCTAGATAATGATTGGCCCAGTCCGTGTAGATCTGCAAAAAAAGCAAACAGGCAACTTCAGGAACCCAGTCGGACCCCTTCTCAGAGTCTGAGGCAGCTGCTGGGCCGGCGCAGCCAGCACCGTCCGGCAGGAGAGCTGTCTGGGGCCAGCCGCACCATTAACATGCAGTGCATTGTGCCGATGGGGCATTCAGCTGGCCAAGCCGGCTTTCCTCTATTGAGAGGTCTGCCGTCAAGGCTCAGGAAAAAGCTAAAAAGAAAGCTTCAAAACACGCAGACGCCTGAATGGGACAGGGGACACGGAACTAAACAGTCTGCTCCAGGCGGCTCTGAGAGGCTGCAGCTCTAAATGCGGGAGAGGTCCCCCACCCCACCCCACTGCTCTACCCCGCCCTTTCCCATCTTTTTCTCTTTATTGAGAAAAACGTATGGGGAGGTTACCACCCAATAGGCATCTTTTAATGGGCCATTTCAGGGAAAGGAGGGCTATTGAGTTAGCGGCGTTCTCAGGAGCCTGGGTCCCCTGTAAAGAAGCCAAGTACCAAAACACAGAGCCCTTCAATTACTCTTGTGTGAGTGGAGTTATTGATGGCCTCACAATCATCTCAAATTTAATCGGTTTAATTTAAAAGCCTGGCATCATTTTCACTGTTGGGATTCTGTGAATAAAGCCCCAGCAAATTCCAACATATCTAAACACAGCATCAGTGTGCACAGCACCCGAAAGGCAGAGTCTGGGTCATCATGGGCTCAGGAAAGCAGACCCCCTTGGGGGCTGAGAGACTTGCTCCTCTTGGTCACAGAATCTTCGGCACAAAAGAATATTTTCTCCCAACAGACCAACAAACACAAGAAAACTCTCACCTAAGAACTTTCCCCCTATGTAACATACCCAAAAACAAAATTTTAAATCCTCCTCCTCAGTTCTGAGTGCTATTTCGTGCATGGATTTGTGAGTTTGCAAGGGGACGTGCAGGCATCTTTATCAGCATCTTTTCCCCCCTAGAATGATACAAACAAATAATTGCTCAAAAAGCTGGGCCATGTTAGCAGCCACAGTTCACGTACTGATGATAGCTTACCAAAATGATGAAGGTGATGGTCAGATCTCTACTAGCAGGTCACCTCTGAGATCTCACGTGACACCAGGGTGGTCCGTGGAGGGCCTGCCCTTGCCCCAGCTCCCACCCTCCATCCTGTTCTTCCCAGCACCATGCTCAGCAGAATTTCACACAAAGGGCTGCTGCCCGTCAAGGATCCCGAAATGGGGACTGAGGGCCAGGGCCTGGGCTTGCAAAGCAGGGCCCTTCTAGGGAGGCAGCACCCCTGACTACTCTGCCTGGGACCAAAAAGGCCTCATATCCCAAGAGGGGACAAGGCAAACATGCACTTTCTACTTCATCAAGTGCTGAGACCAGACAACCCTTGTCCATCCCCATCCCTGCCACTGCAGAGACCCACACCGTGGTACGGTTCTGTTTCACACCTCAGACCATGGTATCTAATCCTTAATTCTATGTTACTTTCCTTTCCCATGACTCCAAAGTAGTCAGAGATCGAAAATCCAGTATAGCAAGATCATTATCCATTTAATAAGCACTGAGAAAGCCAAGGAAGTGGAGCGCAGTTTTGGTCATTACAATGGCCACTTGAAACATCAATGATCATTAGGTGAAACTGTCAAGAGGAAGAGGGGCAGGAAAGACATTCCAAGGAAAAGATAAAGACTTAGGTTCAAGTCCTAAATCTTGAGTCTCCCCAGGGTAGGGATTCGAGTCTTTTGTTCAGTGATGTATCCCAAGTACCTACAATAACACAAAGCCCATTAGAAATTCTCAATATATACTTGCGGAGAAATGGGTGTATGACCTCAGGTGAGCTATTTAATTCTCTGTGCCTAGATTTTCTTATCTGTAAAATGGGATCAAAACCATCCATTTGTCAGTCATTATGAGGACGGAGTGATACAACATATTTGAAAAAAGGTACCTGATGTAGAGTAGGAGCTTAATAACAACTAACACACATAGAGCCTAATACATGCCAGGCACTGGTACCAACTCTTTACACATATTAACTCACTTCATCCTCATTCTGTAAGGTAGATATTATTATTCCATCTATTTTTCAGAGGAGAAAACTGAAGTGCAGAGAGGTAAAGTAACTTATCCAAAGTCACAGGTAAGTGGCAGAACCAGGATGTGAACCCAGGCTGACTGACTCTAGAATCTCTTAGCCACTCTACAACACTGCCCCTCTGAACATGAATAAAAATTAACACCGCTCACCCTCTCCATGACACCCTCCTACTAACTAAGCTCATTCCTTTATTCAGTTACATTCTCGTTGAAAGAATTCTTAAAAAATAAAAACCCAAACTCAGTTCTATCCCTTGCTGTCTGAATGTCCTTAGGCAAGTCACTCAACTTCTCTGGGCTTGTTTATTCCAGTGGAAAAGAGTAACAATTTGCAGAAACATGGATGGACCTGGAGACTGTTATTCTAAGGGAAATAAGCCAGAAGGAGAAAGAAAAATACCATACATCACTTACACGTGGAATCTGAAAAAAAAAAAAAAGACACAAATGAACTTATTTACAAAACAGAAACAGACTCACAGACATAGAAAACAAATACATGGTTACCGGGGGGGAATGGAGGTGGGAAGGGATAAATAGGGAGTTCAAGATTTGCAGATACTAACTACTATATATAAAATAAACAAGTTTCTACTGTATAGTACAGGGACTATATTCAATATTTTGTAATAACCTATAATGAAAGTAAAAAATATGAAAAGGAATATATGATGTTTATGTATGACAAACATTATGCTGTACACCAGAAATTGACATGTTGTAAATTGACTATACTTCGATTTAATTAATTAATTAAACGAAAAGAATAAAATAAAATGGCACAGTAAGGACTCCTTCAGAAGCTGGTTGTGAAGGTTCAGTGCAGCACCACCTGCAAGCCCCGGGCCTGACCCTCAAAGGGACTCAGGACACAGAGGCAGCAGGGTGGTCAAGAGGAGAGCTTTGGAGTCGACAGACTGCTTTAAATCTCAGCTGCCACGCTGCCTACTACCTCTGGGCCCTTGGGCCGGGGTGTCCTCTCTTACAAGAGGGGGATAATAATATCTCCACCATCAGGCTATTATGACAATGAAACAAGTTCATGTACCTAAAGGACATAGAATCTGATGTGTGCTAAGTGTTCAGTAAATAAAGGAGAATTTGAAACGTGACTCCCAGCACTGTAAAATGGGCCATAACAAAACCAGCCATAGCCTCTACCCTGAACCTCCAGGACACACATGACTCGGGGACTTCCCCTCCCTCCTTCTCCTTCACATGGAACAATTTCAAGAGTCTGGAGCATCCCCATCTGGAATTACAAACTGTGGTGGACTGCTAAAGAAGCAGTCCAGAAACTGGCCAGGCTGGTACATAGAGTGAGGCATCCTTCCCTAAATAAACAGGAGATACACCCCCCATGCTGTCTCGAGCTCTGGAGGGATCCCACTGGCTGAGGGTCTGAGGGACTGTGAGAACATTTCAAGGTTGAAAACCATCTGCCCCATGACCACCAGCTAAGGTGAGAATAGGCCATGGACAAGGATGCTGCTGGGTGGAAAGTGATACTGGTACCCCTGCTGACTCCCCTCCTAGGTGATAAACGGTATATAAAGTAGATGTACTCTCTCTAAAGCCAGCTCCCATGTCTGTACAACCCAGCAGAAAACCAAGGTCAAGCAAGCTGCTTTCGACAGGCACACGCATACACAGCATGGAGTCCTGGTGAGGCCACATGGCTATCTGGTATACCAGGGAGACCATTTGAAGTTCTAGAGTGGTCAGAAATGGCTCTGCCAAAGAAGTGAAACTCTCTACCCCAAGCTGTCTAAAATAGGAGATCTTCTCTCAACTGTAATCTACCTATCCACAGTGGCCAACTGATTCTTCCCAGAGCACAGCTCTAATCCTATCGCCTGTTCAAAAACCCCACTGAATTCAAGGCAGACTTTTCACACTGCAATTCAAGGCCATCTTCTCATCCATCCACTCCTCTCTAGCTTGTGCCCGACCTTACAGGAGAGGTAGTGTGTGTGAAAGTTAGGGGCACGGGCTTGGGAACTGACCAAGTCAACTTGGCCTTTGGCAAATGAATTTCTATTCACCTCTCTATACCTCAGTTTTATCCTCCATAAAATGGGGGTTTATATGAAATATATGATAAGGCAGGGACTGGCCAACTGTGACCCAGGCCAAACCCAGCTGACTGCCTGTTTCTGTAAACAAAGTTCTATGGGGACCCAGCCACACCTGTGTGCTGTCCGTGGCTGCTTTCATACCACAACAGCACAGGTGAGTAGCTGTAACAGTCTTTTGGTCCACAAAGCTTTAAATATTCACTGTCCAGCTCTTCACAGAAAAATCTGCCAGCCTATGTTACAGGGACTGAATGACATAATTCAGCTACACGCAGCAAGTCCTGAGTAAATAACTATGATTACCCCAAGAAAAATTGGACCTCCTGCTTACCCATCTCTGAACTCCTGCCACCCTCCCACCCTGCCCCTCCGCAGCCTGAGTGCCTCCACCTGGGGTCACCCAGCAAAACTCCATTCCAATGCCAGACCCTTCATGAAGTCACTCTTGATTTCCTGACTGCATCCTGAGCTACGCGTGATGCAGAGACTGCAGAGAATGTGTCTGCTGGCACCAGCTCCTCCCGCCACCATCAGATTTTAGCAGAGACCGTGTCTCGCCCATCTCTGCCACACAGAGGAGCCTCTCACAGAGCGGGCACACGGCAGGAGGTGTGTAAGTGGTTGCTGGAGTTGAGCTGAACAGAGAAAAAGGGCAAATCCTTGGGAAACTGATTACATCGGAGACTTAATGTGAGCTCTCAGCGTGTTCTCAAACCAGGATCTCAAATCCCTTTATTGATTGAAAAGAGGAAGGAATCCAGAAAATAAATCACTCCACAGCTTAAGCTCATTAATCAGGACCCACTCAACAAGAAT